TATTCCGAAGTTAATTGGTTCTTTCTTTCATTTCTTCTTGACAGCCATTCGAACAATCACACGAGGTCTGTTCAAAAACAAAATATAGTTTAAAAAACTAAAGAACACACTTTTAAAGAACATCGAACTAAAAATTTGAAACTATTTTTTTTTAAATAAGCCTAAAACGATAACAAACGAAAAAAACTAGTATTATTGTGAAAAAAGCGTGGGCGCTTTCAATAAAAACATCACTCTGTCAAAAACCTGTCAAATACAGGAATACAAGAAATGGAAACTAGAAAATAGATATTTCGATATAAAATCTCTAAATATTCATCTCTGCCAACTACCTACACAGTACGTTCTGGTAAATGCCTGCCGAAAAATAACTACTTTCCCGGCTAATAGCTCGCTAGACATTGAATTATATCCGAGAGACATTTATGCAAGAATGTGAATTTCATTACAATTGTTATTTCCAGACAAATGCAACAAATTCTAGATGACCAATCAGAACCTTTGCCAGGAGAAGAAAAGTTAGCTGCCTTAACAGCTGGCGAAAGGACGCATTGGAACATTGTGAGATCGAAAATGTTCAACAAGGGTGTTAATAGAACGTCCTTGGATATCATTGAAAAAGCTGCATTTGCAGTTACTTTAGATGATTTCCCTTATGAATTTGACATGGTAAATGTTCGAAATTTCATTTTTGAGTTTTTTTTAAATACATTTTTGAATCTCTTCGAAATAGTATATTATGTAACTATCCTCCTTCATTGATAGGTTGCTTGAAATGAATAGATGAGCTGAAGAAACGTTAATAAACAGTCAAATATTGATAGTTTATAAATAAAACAAAAAAAAAGAGTTGAAGAGATATCGCCAATAATTGTTGTACCCTTTCAATCTTAATTTTTAGTGTTTCTCTAACTTTTGTGGCACAGGCACGGTTTTAGAATGTTTTCATAACTATTTTTACAATTTTTTTAATCTGTTGAAAGTCGATTGTTTCTCTTCAATTTTTTACAGTTGCTTTTAATTTTTTAAAGTAAACATTGCTTTTGGACAGTGCGAAAAGGAGTTCCTCAATGTATTTATTTCTAAATATATACCTACAAATGTTTTGGTTTTCAGAATGAACCTTCGAAATTAGATAAATATGGAAGATATTTGTTACACGGTAAAGGATATGACAGGTGGTTCGATAAATCATTCAATTTATGTATAGGAAGTAACGGCCGAATCGGTTTCAATGCAGAACACTCATGGTAATTATATTTTGTTCTTTTCTCATTTTTTTCAGTAATAACATTGACATGTAATGATGAGTAGTTGTTATACAATAGTCTCCCACGGATTTGATATGGAGGTTAGTTTTATGAAGCTATTAATTTTATAGGGCAGATGCAGCTGTGATGTCTCACGTGTGGGAGTGGGTGTTGACATCTGAATCCTGGGAAGTCCGGTAATAAAAAAAAGTTCAAGTCTTGTGTGTTACAGGTGACGGCGAATCCTGAGCCTGATCTTCTTTCTCTTAGAACTAGTTATATTATTTGCCTTGCTTACTATCTTCTACTATTTCTGCCTTTAAAACTGTCTAGTATATTTATTTCTGATTATTAGGGCTGATGCTCCAATTATGGGGCACAGTTGGGAATACCTTCTAACTGATGAACTATCTAACCGGTAATTTATGTTTTTCTTTGCTTGTCTACTAACACAATCCTGTCATTTTCAATTCCTAACTGCATGCTTTTGTTTCTTTTCAAATAGACTGTGGTAGTGTTTGGGAAATTACATAAAGGTTGATAAATAGTATAAATTATTATTGCAAACTTTCACATCATAAGTAATATTGGTTGCAAGAAGTACATAAGAATAAAAAAAGTGTTGATTGGTTTAATAGAATGTTTTGGGAAAGCATTTACTGAGCTACAGAGAAGAAACTTGGCCATTCTTCAAAATAGAAACTGAAGTACTAAGAAAATGAGGTACTCGTAAGTGAAAAACCAAATTTGAGCTTCGTTGAAAATTCTTGATTTGACAAGGAATCAAAATTATAGTAGACAAAAGGTTTTCGCAGGTCAAGTGATACAGAGTTAGCTAGCTGTATTGGGTATAGCTTCCAAAATTGAAATTCAATCAGATACAAATAATGTTTATGGTATGTTATCACTTGGTTTGCGGAAAGCATTCGATACAGTAAATTATGATATTCTTCTGCAAAATTCGAACTTTATTGGCATCGGAGGAATAGTATTTCTATGGTGTCAAAATCATCTAAGTAACAGAAAGCAGCGTACAGGGAAAAAAGTTAAAACTATCAAGTGTGGAGTTCCACAAGGTTCTCTTGCAGGCCCGACTCTATTCCTAATTTACATCAATTCTATTACAGAACTGAATTTATGTGATTCTAGCAGTCTTTTTGCTGATGATATAACTCTCATTAACTTTTCTAATGATACCTTATCATTGGAAAATCAATTTTAGAAGACTTGAAACTAATATCTTTCTTGTTGGGATCTCACGAGTGGCATTTGAATTTCGATAAATCTTGCTATACAATGGGGAATGTTCCTCTTGACAAAAATCAAGTAGGTTTCATAAAAGAGCCCTAAAACAACGCATTTTAAACTTATTTCAACCTTTTTCTTTAAAAAATTAATTAAATACTTTAAAAAGAGGAATGAAATAATGCATTCAACATTTAAAGGGATTCGTTTCTATTTCACCATTTGGCAACATCGGTTATANCGTGTTAGGAATCACACGTTAAAAGGTAAGACCTCGTTAATCCTTAGCTCGCACAAGTTTCGACTTCTGAGGGTTGTCGTTCGTAGGGGTGCGACAGCTGGTTAACGGAAAAACAGATTTTAAACAGATTTTAAACAATTTACAGAAGTTTAAAACCCACATTAGTTTCATGTACTTTCTTTAGGGTTTGAGGGACAAAATACCAGATGAAATATTTAGAAAATCTATTTTATGTCTTGAAAAAACTCAGTATTTCCCATATTCAAATCATTCAATAGTTTTTATAAAGATATGTGACAAAGGTGAAAGTTGAATTATCATCAAATGCTTTTTATTGACAGCATATAATCAACATATTTCAAAATGAATGTTTTACTAAGTCCTCCCGGCATGTGAAATGATTTCTAACCAATGTTGTTGTCTGATAGTATTCATCTAGACGAAAGGTTCATAGTGATTTCTTTCAATTAAGTAACTAACGCATTATCAACATTCTTGAAAATCCATAACCTAACTAAAATCACTAAAACGCTTTTGCAATTCTCAGAATTGTTATTGTGTAATAAATAGTTTTCAGTAAGAATTTATGATGAATACTATCTTGTCATACAGTTGATTCAGTTTCTTCTTTTATCTACAGATTTGATGAGAAGGGAAATACTACTGGCGAACCAGAAATTTCTCCTCCAGTACCTTCCCGTCTCAACTGGGAACTCAAATCTGATGCGCAAGAAGCCATTGAAAAATCTCTCAAATTAGCTAACGAGCTCATCGACGACATTGATCTTCGTATACTTGTTCATGACCATTACGGAAAAGGGTTTATGAAGACTTGCAAAGTTAGTCCCGATGCTTATATCCAAATGGCCCTTCAGTTAGCTTACTATAGGGACGCAGGCAAATTTTGTTTGACATATGAGGCCACCATGACGAGACTGTACAGGTAATTATTTTCTTTTGTCTCCATTGAAATTGGTCACAGTTTTGTTGGGTTTTTATTTACTTATATTTTCAATGGTAACTAGTTGTACATCTTGTAATTATATTTGAAAAGAGGAATGAGGAGATAATTACTTTGATTGATCAAAGTTTAAATCGCTAACTCTTTTGAGGGGCAGTTATGATGTTACCATAGACTTATAAATCTATACTTACAAATGTGAGTCACTTAACTCATTCATCTCCGTTTCTCCGTACCGGTAAGTAATATACATTTCATATTCACCAGGGAGGGCCGCACGGAAACACTACGTCCACTTTCACTTGAATCTGCAGCGTGGGTCAAGGCTATGGAAGATGGAAAAACTTCAACTGAAGAAAAAATCAGATTACTCGGAGTAGCTTGTCGAAAACATCAGGTAGATCCTTTGTTGTTTCTAAAACCTTCAATTCTTTTTTTTATATTCAACTGACGCTGACTCACATTGAATGCCCTTTTAGGCTGGATATCAAGATGCAATGTGTGGCAAAGGTATAGATAGACACCTCTTCTGCCTTTATGTTGTTTCCAAATATTTGGAAGTTGACTCTCCTTTCCTCAAAGAGGTTCTAAGCGAACCTTGGAGACTCTCCACTTCTCAGACACCACACGGACAAACTACTCGGTTTGACTTGAAGAAACATCCCAACTGCATTTCTGCTGGTGGTGGATTTGGTCCAGTGGCTGATGATGGTTACGGTGTCTCTTACATAATTGCTGGTGAAGATTTGCTGTTTTTCCATGTATCCAATAAGAAGAGCTGTCCAACTACGGTAAGTCTAGAGTTCTTAGAGAAACATGTGTTATAAATATTTCCACAAATTCAACCAAACTCATATGAAAACAAGTTCAACATAGTCAAATAATCTTTTAGAAGAAAGTCATATCTTTAAAGGATATTTCGAAATTTTACACGTAGAAAATGAAGGTTTAAAGCTAAATCATTTGGAATTCAAAATTCAAACATTTCACCGAATGACCAACTGAAATTGAGTTTCCTAGAAATCGATGTTATCCTAGTTTTCGTAGACATTTTATTATTCATGTAAAATTGATATAATATGCTCTAGGCTCTAGGTAATCATAATTGAGGATTTCATAAACTACACCTCACGATTTGATCTCCCGAAAAAAAGTTTCCCATATGGTGCGCACTTTAATGGTGACACTGTATATAGCTGTTTTTATAATTTTGTTCTGCTTCAGAAAAAAAATATAACGTTGGTCAATATTTGTTTATAACAAATTATNACTTAAAGGGTTGATTTGAGGTACTATAGTGGATGTTATTTGTTCGGCAATAGAGCAGTAAAAATTATTCAAAGAATTCGGATCAATGTTGATCACTGCTGATGAAGATAGCATTCCTTTACCCTGCAGGTCATTAATAATTGCCCATTTCTCTATAGGTTTATTTTGTGATGATTCAATTCTTTTTGCCATACACACATATATTTTTTTCAACATTCCCACTTATAGATCAATCTAATCCATTTAAATTTATGTTACATCTCTTTTTGATTGCTTTACATAACAAATCTGTATATTTCTGGAATGAGTGTCAGGGTTATCAAATTCAAGTATCACGATAAAAAATCCACAGTCAATTGAAATTTGTCTGTGAGAGTTCAACTTTTTTGAATGTCTTCATACATATTATATTTAGTTATATTTTTGTGAATGGTATAGCACTAATAACCTTAATTCTGTAGTTCTTAATATTACTTGAAACAATATTATTAAATATATAATTTTTTGTGAAACTAAATGTACCTAATTATTTTGCAGGATTGCCACAAATTCGCCAAAAAGATAGAGGAGGCTCTATCTGACATGAAGCAAATGTTTCTGGATTACAGATCTCAGAAAGAGAAATGATAAATTCAATGCACGGGTTTATTTTGTGGTCCACTAAGGCAAATGACTATATCAAGATAAACCTTATTTTTTTAGTTTAGGAGTACCATTTAATAGTTGATTGTTATGCAAGAATCAATGCAAATATATGTATCTAGTATTATTTCTCTAAACATTGTTGAAAATCTGTTGTTAACGGTATTTTAGGGTTTTTTTTGTACTTGTTGTACTTTATTTTTTGTCCAATAAACAAATGTCCCAGGAAAAGTTGAATCACTGGTTGGTTGTGAAATACTGATATGAATACACCATTAGGATTGAAAACCATTGAATTGGCCAGTGGTTTGGCATAATAACTGACTTTTGCAGTTTCGTAAAATAAACATTTATAAAAGAAAGGTTTTCTTAAAAATGTGAAATTGATATACTCAATTATATGAATGGTAATGGTAAATGCCTGCTGGAAAACAACTACTTCCCCGGCAGATACCACGCCGGATATTGAATTATATCCGACATACATTTATGCAAGATACCTCATAGAGGTTAGTCTTGCAAATGTTTCTCAAGCACCAGGACCATGCTGAAATTATTCAAGTAGATCACATGCAATCGAGCCCTCACAAAACAACTTCTTTTGTATAAACAATGAATTACACGAAAAAAAAAACACTTTCAAAACAACACTTATATGAACAGTGAATAATACAAGAAACACTTTTTCCTGTTCGGTTTGTACTCCAAACATTCGCTATGTAATTGCATCAGATATTCACTGAGAGAGGATTGCTACACAATATAGTATGTGAAAGAGGAAAAGTTTCACTTATGAGGAACACTGTCATCCTCAATGGCGGACATCCGATGTTTCGGAATAAGACACTTGCCGTATTACTTCTTCAGCACCAATCTGAATAACAGACTTTATAGATAGATAGATAGACATAACCTTTATTGTCCAAGAAAATACAATCTTATTGACAAAGCGTGTTAAAAAATCTGATATATATGTAGCACTTCAAAGAATAAAAAAAAGAAACAATTCAAAAACACAAATTTGAGTAAAACTAAATTCACATATCTAATAGATAAAATATAACAATAGAAAATGAAATTCAACAAAGTTTGTAGACAAAATAGTTTGTATAGTCCCTTTCAAAAAATGTAAATAACAAATATACACATTTTGAACATAAGTTCACATGCCATGACAATGAGATAAGATATATCCCAGTATAAAATATAATTTAATGTATAGGTGTCAATATAAACAACAAAAAAACACCTATATTAAATCACAGCAATGTTCCATTGTAATATTCATCAAGATTCATAAGGTATGTGATTATACAGCTTTTTACTTTCATAAATTAAAGAATACTTTATAGTTTTTTTCATATTAGAAGTATTTTTTTCATGCCAAAGGAGCGTGGTGTCCTCCGCAAAGATCGTAAAAATTCCTTGAATTGAGAGAGTAACAGGATCATTTACATAAATAAGGAAAAGAATCGGGCCCAGTACCGATCCTTGTGGAACGTCCCATAAGATGTCCTTAGTGTGTGATAGTTTTCCGATTGATCTAACTAGCTGTTTTCTATCACTTAAGTAAGACCTGAACCAATCATTACTCACTTCTCTAAAGCAATAGTAGTTCAACTTTTGCAACAGAAGCTCATGATTTACGTTGAAGGTAAGTCAAAGAATGCTTTTTTGGCACAAGAATACTCTTGAAACTTCTCTAGCAGGTCTCCAAGTCATATTAACTGATGTGTTAGGAAGCTATTGCAAAATATATGCTAATTAGCTCTGCCTCATCTGAAGAATTTTTCAGTAGTTTATGGCGCAGTTCTTTGTTAACTGAATGTCAGTCAAGTAAATGCTCTCATCTGCGATACATTACATAAGTTCACTTATCTGGCACCATTTTTCAAATTTCTTGACGGGTTTGGAGGGGAAAAATGACAAATTTAACCACTTAAATACAATTTNCTATATGAAAGCTTCTTTAGGCATGTCTTCACAGGTAGACGTGTCTATACACGCCTGAAGATGCTATACGCTGTAGAATAGCTTCTTCAGACATGTCAAAAATGACAAATTTAACCACTTAAATACAATTTTTTGTGTTCTGGACTATAATGGATGATACGAAGTCATGGGCTACGCACAAACTTGGACATATCCTTGAATATTCTAACCATTTGAGACTAAATCAAGCGCTTCATTTTCTAATGCGGTTATAGATAACAGTGACTTTATCGGACATGTAGTGAACCTGAAGTACCAAACGTTTCGTCTGCTACTGCGGCGGACATCATCAGTGGTATGACCGTTGATTGCGAGGGTGAAATCACAACTACGTTCTTGTATAAAATGTACTGTTTTATGATTAAATTATTTCTATATTGAAAAAAATCATTTGCCAAGTAATAAAATGTTTATTTACACTTAACAGTTTTTAAATATGTATATAAAAATATTTCTCTTACATTTTATACAGTTTATGTACATTTAAGAAGGTACAAAACAAAAAATGATGAAGAATAACTATAAAATGTTACTTTTTATGTACAAGAGAAAATCAACAAAATGAATCAATATTCCTAAGGAAACAAAAATCGGTTTTATTATTAATTCAATTAATAATATTCTTCTTTTTTCTATTAATAAAAAGAGTCATGTTTGGGACAGTTACTTTTTGGCATAAAATATATGGTATATCACAATGCAGGGCAATACAGAATAGACCAAAAATTAAATATATAGCATCTCGTTTCAAATCTGCGACACAATAACATAAATTTTTTCACAAATCGATTAGTTGAAACTGGAAAATCTTTATGTTATAACATCCAAAATTGTTAATTCATGTCCCTCAAAAATATAAATCGGAGGAAAATTATTTTGAAATAAAAAAACCCTCCTTCAATATCGCCTCTATGATTTGAAGCCACAAAAATACAAAACCTTCCATAATTATGAAAAAAAAATAATGAATTTCGTTCTTTCCATGTTTTCATAAAACTAATTCTGGAATAATGGAAAATACTGCAGTGAAGAGTCTATACTCTTTTCCTATATGATTTTTTTTGAGAAAAAATAGCAACACTGGAATTTTTAGATATTGTTGGCGCTCCTGCAATCCGAGAAATTTTATTTTTGGGATTGGAAGCATTGTACCTAACTTGTCAGAAGCGCACCATTTTGGCGGGTAATTTGAATTTCAGTGGAACTACACGCGATACCTATTTATCTTCTGAAACTCAACAATTTGTCAATTCCTATCAAATAGAAAAAGAATTCTTTTTAATATACCATTTTCCTTGGTATGATAGTGAGACGATTTGAAACGAGACATGGAATAAAGACATGTGAATGTGGAATTTACAGCTGCTGGTTTCAAAAAACATTTCAGCCCATTCTGTACGAATAATATAAGTATATTAAAAACCCAAACTAATATTTGACTGAAGGAAAATTTGATTTAGTTCACTTCGCATCCTAGGGATATGACAAAAATTTTATCATAACTCGTCAATAGAATGGGTGAACCTTGTTTTAATGTTGTCATCAATATCCTTGTTATCTGTTGCTTCACTTTCACGCACTGTTGCAGTTTCATAACTTTTCTGATCACTTACGATAATTTCATTGTCCGATTCTGATTTGAGGTTGCTGAAAGTTTCATCCAAAATATCTGTCGTTTCAGGAGCATCTTCCAAGTTTACGTTTTCTAACAGCGAACTGATTTCTTTCAAATTGTGTTTTTTGAGAGTTTCCATTAAATCATGCTTATCGTGCTCCGACATTTTATTGAAGCCTGTGATAATGGAAATACCCTGATCGTTTTCCGCCTTCACCAAATCATCTTCTTTTTTCTGATACTCTTTCAAAAGTTCCGTAAGAAACCACTCTGTTTGCTTTATAATGTCGACTTTAACCAACTCTTTTGCAGACACTCCACTCAAAGACTGGTAATAAATTTTCAAAATATTAAGCGGAACTATCAACTCTTTTGTTTCGGAGTATAGGATCGACTTCAGCAATGCTTTTCTGATTTTACTCCACTGAGAATTCGTGACGGTATCTTCGACAGGCTGAACATCCTGTTCGTTATTTTCGTATGTAATTTTTATTCTAGCGTTGCCGATGATAGCCCTGAATCCCCCTACTTCAACCTTTTTTGCGAAAGCTATTCCAGTATGCTTATTAAGAAATTCTTGGACGGACAATTTCAATTTTTGGAACATGCTCTCTTCTTCGTTTTGTGAAAAATTGTCGGATTCTTTAAGCTCTCTGATGGTAACCTCAACTTCTGGGTCTTTGGATAATGCAAGTAATAACTTGGAGGCTTCTTGGCTGAATAGAAATACTGCCGGTATTTCTACATCGTCTGTACCATCGCCAGACATGGAAAACATTGGAGAATTAGCTGCGCTGCTACCAGAAACATTATCCAATATAATAGCACCAACTGCTCCGTACTTTTGGACTTGCCTCACCTTGTCTACAAACATGCAATCCCCCCTTTCCATTATTGCTATTCGTCCTTCAATTGAATCAGACGCTTCAATATTGTTGCAGCCACGAAAAGGTTTTAAAAGTAATGTTCGTGCCGATATCTTCTGACCATCTTGGAGATTTTTACCGAATTGGGAAGGTCCAGCTTGCATGACGATGGTATGTTCTTCACCTTTTTGATCTTTCATCGGTACCGTAACTGCTTGGGAAATAGGTTCGGGTTGCTGAGCTTGCAACTTGGATAATTCCACCATCTCTTGCATAAAAATCAATCCTTCTTCTGCATCCGCTGCTGTTCGAGCCTAGAAAAATATAAGTTGAAAAAAAAAAAAAACAAAATTGTACTCAAGAAACACTTTATTGTGGGAGTTTTACTTTTTCATAAAAACGCAACATGTGTTTTGCTATACAATAGCTTCTCCAGGGATGTCTCTACACGCCTGAAGATGCTAGAGGCTATACAATAGTTTCTTCAGGCATGTCTATATACGCTTGAAGATGCTACGCGCTGTACAATAGTTTCCTCAGGCAAGTCTATACAAGCGGGGATGTCTATACTCGCCTCAAGATGCTATAGGCTATACAATAGCATATTCAGGCATGTCTATACACGTAGGCATGTATATACACGCCTGAAGATGCTATGTGCTGTACAATAGCTCCCTCAAACATGTTATAAACGCCTGAAGATGCTATACGCTGTACAATAGCTTCCTCAGGCATGAGCATAAGAGCTCTACGCTCTTATGCTCTTCTCTAGGCTACACTTCTACATGCCTGAAGATGATATAGGCTATACAATACCTTCTTCAGGCATGTCTATACACGCCCGAAGATGCTCTATGCCATAAAATAGCATCTCTATACACGCAGGCATATCTATAGACGCTTGAAGATGCTATACGCTGTACATGTCTATACACACCATACTATACGCCATAAAATAGCTTCTCCAGGCATGTCCATACACGTCTGAAGATGCTATAGGCTATATGAAAGCTTCTTTAGGCATGTCTTCACAGGTAGACGTGTCTATACACGCCTGAAGATGCTATACGCTGTAGAATAGCTTCTTCAGACATGTCTATTCACGCCTAAATCGTGTATAGACACGTCTGAAGATGCTATAGGCTATACAAAAGCATATCTATACACGCCTAAAGATGCTATACGTCATAAAACAGCTTCTCCAGGCATGTCAATACACGCCTGAAGATGATATAGGCTATATAATGGCTTCTTCAGGCACGTCTATACACGTCTGAAGATGCACTAGGCTATACAAAAGCTTCTTTAGGCATGTCTTCACAGGTAGACGTGTCTATACACGCCTGAAGGTGATATACGCTGTAGAATAGCTTCTTCAGACATGTCTATTCACGCCTAAATCGTGTATAGACATGCCTGAATCCATGTCTATACATGAAGCTATTGTATAGCGAAACACATATTTCGTTTTTGTAAAACGATTGAGTGAAAATCTCACATGTTGTTTCTTGGATTTTCATAAGTATCGGCGGATTCCATCACATAACAAAATTGTAATTTACCGATGAAAAAGAATGGAGCAACTGTACTCTGCCATCATTCAGAGCTATGATATTAATTCCCATATCTTTAATAACTTTCAGATGATTCAGGTTAGCGGCAGAAAATTCAGTTGCTGAAAGTCGTCTTTTCTGCGATCTTTTGGGGCACATGCCATCCACCATATGCTGTAAAGGTTTTCTTACAGATTCCGGGAACAAACTCAGGGTATTTGGGCAGGTTCTAGAAAAATCTGAGTCCTCTGTTTCAGATTCGGAATGTTTCGTACCTGAAAAATTTCTTTTAATCACCCAAAAAAGCACATTGCAAACGAAGTGTTTACCATTGTTTGTATGGCCCGCAAGACTGAGCGGTAAAAGATGACCTTCAGTAGTAAAAATAAATTCATCCAAATTCAAAATGAGATCATCTTTATCGGCGAACAGCAAAAAAAGGTACTTGAAGGTTTCGGATAGTACAAATGAATCCATTCTGTCTTCTTGCTTTCCTGTCCTCACATCATTCACAGCTGCATACCCACAAGGCACTCTGGCAAACTTCTGAAGACTCGTCAAAACAGTTTTTCCAACCTTCAAATAGTACGGATCACCTGTGGCAATGTAAAGGAAATATGTCGATTCAAGAAATTCTGGACGTAAAGGATGATTTCCCCAATGAACTTGAAAGTCTGTCGTGAAAGCTTCTGGAATGAATTTGTGTCTTTGCATGACTTGATAAAGCATCTCGTGAGTTTCAACTGCGGGCTTAATGTCACCTTTCAATACCTGAAGACCTGGCCAGAAAGCCAAGAGTGCATCCATGAAATTTTTGGAGTTTGTATGTGGCCTAAAAAATATACAAAATATACGTATTTATATTGAACAATGTGTTTTTTCCATCCTGCTAATGACCATCACAGAAATGGAAAACAAAAGTCAACTGCGCAATTAAAGCAGATATAAATGAGAACGATATTAAGATATTAATATAGCTCAAGCACACTTCAAAAACTCTATGGTAATAGTCTGTGGTAAAAAATTTAATATGTTGACAAAGCAGGCTTATTACTATGGTAATAGTCTGTGGTAAAAAAATTAATATGTTGACAAAGCAGGTTTAAGAACTAAAACAACCAGAAACAATAAAATAAAGGTTAAGAATTAAAACAAGATATTAATATGGTTCAAGCACACTTCAAAAACTCTATGGTAATAGTCAGTGGTAAAAAATTTAATATTTTGACAAAGCAGGCTTAAGAACTAAATCAATCTGAAACATTAACATAAAGATCAAGAATTAAAACAAGATATTAATATGGTTCAAGCACACTTCAAAAACTCTATGGTTAATGTTGTGATAAAAAATTTAATATATTGACAAAGTAGGCTTATTACTATGGTAATAGTCTGTGGTAGAAAATTTAATATGTTGACAAAGCAGGCTTAAGAACTAAAACAACCAGAAACAATAAAATAAAGGTTAAGAATTAAAACAAGATATTAATATGGTTCAAGCACACTTCAAAGACTCTATGGTAATAGTCTGTGGTAAAAAATTTAATATGTTGACAAAGCAGGCTTAAGAACTAAAACAATCTGAAACATTAACATAAAGATCAAGAATTAAAACAAGATATTAATATGGTTCAAGCACACTTCAAAAAGTATATGGGTACAGGTCTGTGATAACAAATTTTATAAGAAGTTGCGAAGTCATCCGAAAGAAATTCCTCAATACTATAATAAGCTTTATCTAGCAGAAGTTTTTTTACTCTTTTTCGAAACTGTTTGTAGCATGTTAACTTTCTGATTGAAAGGGGTAGATTATTGAAATATTTTTTGTTATTATAAAGAATAGAATTTTTAATTGTGCATTACAGGAATCTTGGATTCTAGCTCTGGTAACGAATTTCACTGCTCTTTTTTATATTGTGAAAACTTGACTCATTAAGTTTTGACAGCTGCTCCCCAAGAAACAAACTCTGTACTGCAAGTGGGATTCAAAAAAGTGCAAAGTATGCTTTTCTAGCAGAGTGATAGTCCAAAGAGATAGAGATAGACCTTATCGCATAACAACTTGAGGATAATTTTTTGCATAGTACACTAATATGCGTTCCAAATTTTAATTTGTTGTCTATATAATAAACAAATGAAAAATACTTCACCTGTGCATGTGAACATCCAACAGCATTGGTCCCTGAGAAATATACTTCATGACAGCATTATAATGCCTGTTGAATCGATTCAAATACTTATTATCTCCAAGAAGAATATAGGCTTTCAGACAATACTCGTAATACGAATCTATGCCGGCGCCAACACCAGAATCTCGTCGTATCCAATCACCTGAATGGACATTCAATACCGTTCCCATCAAATCGGAGCTTCGATGTCTCATTTTCCATAGTTCATCCATTGCTTTGTGAGCCTTGAGTTCAAACACTGGTTCGCCTGTTAGTCGAGAAAGGGCAGCCATTTCTAGAATCATGGAACCAGCACATGCAGTGCAAGTCTCTCGGGCAGATTCTAATTGATCACTTTTCAAACCATACTTCATGTTCACCTAAAATTGTGTTCAGGAGGCACGTTGAGATTCGAAAG